GGATGAGGAGTAATGAAAAACCAGCAAAAATAAGTATGTCGTCCCCAAGGATTGTGTCCCGTAATCAGTCCTATCAGAGCTCGTACTCACTCCTCTGTTTCAGGAATTTCTGGAATTTCGCTTCAAGGAACTATTCCTGGATTATTCTTGAAGAGGTTATTTCCAAGGCCTTTAGAATAGCTTGGTTATTCGTGCTACCTTTCGTCAATTCTCCAGCCGACTACTTTAAATATGGCAAGGACTTTTGTTTGAATTAACTTTGCTTTATACTAAAGGAGAAAAGCCATCCAGCTCCAGTTCTGTTTTCAGTCTCGCAGCTGTCGATAGTCGGTATAGAAAGTTTTTTAAGGCAATCTTTAAAGGCGACGGAAAACTATTTTAGCAATGTATAGACATTCGCCTCCTTCGTGTTCGATCTCGCAAGTTACTTGTGCGGCACGATCTACACGAGAAGATTGTTCATAAAATTGACGCTTCTTCAGTGTGATTTTGTGAATTTTCTGCATACGCTCATACTTGTTGTTAAGTTTAATTTAATTTATGTACAAATTCATTCATACATACATTCATATCTTATTAATATTAATTTAAGGCAGCTCAGCTGGCGCATTTACACATATTTATGTATGTACATATGTATGTATGTACATATGTATGTATGGATGTACATATGATAAGCGTATGTGTGGGCATGTTTGAATGTATGGCCACACTAAAGCGGTTAGTAGACGTGGAAGGCGCAAGTAGTTTTGAAAAGTCTGTCAGTTACATCTTACATGTAAAGAAACTTTCGAAAGCATTTTTAATTTCCGAAAATCGAACTTTTTACTCCAAATATAGTTCCACTTTAACTGTATTGAAATTATTGCTCGAAAGCGATTTGTTGATTTATTGTCTTAGGTTTTTATAGTGTTTTGCTGTTCGCCTTTTGCAGTAACTTTTTTAAATTAAAATAAAATAAAAAAATATATATATTTTTTTCCTTTTAAAACAATAAAAACAGAAAATTAAATTAAAAAAAAAGAAAAAAATAATAATGAAATGAAAATAAAGCAAAAATAAATAACGTTGTGGTTGTTCACACCTGTCTGGTTATCAGCTTATCTGGTTATGTGGTTATATTTTTCATTCAGTTTACAACAATACTCTACACTAGAGATGAGCCCGACGGGCCCCTGCGTAAGCTCGCGGGTACGGGTCGGAATATTTGCTGTCACCACGAACTCGTGCGGGCCTGGGCGTTCAGTAAAACTTCATAAAAGCACGAAAAGGCACGAAAAAGCCCGTTGCTAATACTAAAAATTTAGATGAGCTTTTGTTTTTATAAAAAAAATAGTACATATTTAAAGCCCTTTTGATAAGAGAAAAGCAAAAAAAGAAATATTTGGAAACCGGTAGAAAATATATGATACTTAGTAGTTTTGTTTACATACATATCTGTACATAAAATACCTTCCACTTTTTCTACTTCCCGGAAAATATATTTAGGGGATTCACAAGACGTGTCAACCGTCGTAAAATCTTAAGGTTAAACCGAAATTCTTTTAAACTGATAAAGAATATATAATTAGCCAACCCCCCAACCATTTTAACCGCTATTTTACATAAACAAGTGTTAAGCTTAAGATTTTACGACGGTTAACACGTCTTGTGATTCCCCTAATTATAAAAATCTTTGATGTAAAACATTGATTCGCTTAAGTAAATATACATATGGACATAAACACAAAATTAAAAATATGTACATATGTATACATACAATAAAAGTTGGCTCTTTATTTCCGAGCCGGGCCGGGCCCCACTAAAATTCTTAACGTGCGGGCTTGTGCGTGTTTTTGAAAGTTGCTTTTGCACTCGTGCAGGGCCGGGCCTGAAAATTTAGGCCCGTGCCCATCTCTACTCTACACCACGAATATTTTTTAACCAGATAACCTGATAACCAGGCAATTAAAAAATAAACTAAAAAATATATATTTTTTATATAACAATAAAATCTAAACATTAAATTAGAAAATGAAAAAAACACAAAAAATTGCAATTGTAGGTATTAAAAAAAAAATTAAAATATTTTTAATAAAAAAAAAAAAAATCTAAAAATCAATTAAAACAAAATGTAATACAAAAAATATATTTTAATTTTTAAAACAATAAAATCCAAAACGAAAATGAAATTAACAAAAGAAAAATAAATTAAAAAACGAAAAATAAGATAAAACAAGTTTCTAAAAAATATCTTTCTTTTATAAACAGTAAAATCCAAAAATTCAAAGAACGAATAAAATAAGTTCTTAAAAATTAAATTAAATAAAAAAAGAATAACGTCTAAAAATTAACAAGAGTAAATTAAGAAGGAAACTAATTAAATTTAAAGCAAAGAAAATAATAATCAAAAATTAAATTAAATTAAATTAAATTAAAGAATATATATTTTTCTTTTCAAAATAATACAATCTAAAAATTAAAAGAAAACAAGTTTGAAGTTTTTGGTGAACATTTTTGGAATATTTATAATTTTTGTAGGTACAAAGTTTGAAACGTGGATGTATGTATATGGTGTACAGTGGCGGATTTACCGTAAAGGCGGCATGGGCAGGGGCGTAGGGCGGCAAAATTTGAGTTGAGTTAGCTGCACTGATACTTTTGCCTCAAAATATTTTTCTTATCAGAAAAAGGGCGGCAATTTCTGAATTACCTAGGGGTGAGAAATATTCAAATCCGCCACTGATGGTGTATATTGTATAACTAGCTAGACTTTTATAAAAAAAAATATTAAACATTAAATACAGTGGTATCTGGCTAGAGTGAACACCCGATGCTACGAACACCTCGAAAGAGTGCACATGAAAATTTTTCTATTGAGTACTCTATAGAGTGACCAATTTTGAGTATTTGTAGAGTGAACAAAGTTTAAAACCAATTCATTCCAAATTCAAAACTGTAACGAAAAACTTAATAACAAAAAGGATAATCCCTTGCGCGATGCGCGAGTTATTTTAGCCGACAGTTCATACTGCATCCTCCGGCGGACAAAGCCAAGCGTAGAGTGACCAGAAGGCTGCACAAACTGCCAACACCAAGTGCACCTCTTTTTTTCAGCAGCGACGAGGAAAGGAAAGCAATTGAACCCGACGGAACTTGCATGCTGATGCTGAAAAATTTGGTTCCTGCGGGAGTGGACTATCTAACCAAGGTCCTCAACCTGTCTATGGCCACTCTCATGGTACCAGACATCTGGAAAACGGGGAGAGTGGTTCCACTGCTTAAACCGGGGAAACCGTCCAACAAAAGAGAGTCTTCTCGCCCGATAGCTCTCCTTTCACCGGTTGCGAAGGAAGACACTAGAGACCCTTCTACTGCCGCACTCAACCCCAGCGAAGCATCAACATGGTTTCCGTAAAGTGCACAGCACAACATCAGCACTTGACGCCATAAACAGCCAGATAACTCGTGGCCTTAACCGAAACCCCCCTGTGAGAGAACTATTCAAGTAACGCTACTTGAAGACAAACGGTGGGCGGCGAATTACCTGAGTGGTCGAACCTCGTCAGTGATCTTTAGGGACAAATCGAGCAAACCTTGGAAAATAAAACAGAGAGTTCAACAGAGTGGTGTCCTTTCCCACTACTGTTCAACTTTTACATTTTTAAGCTCCCTCAACCAACAGAGGTAGTCTCGATTGTCTCTTATGCTAACGATTGCTCAATAATGGTTATCTCGCCGAGCTTTCTCGCTTCGTCACTGCACGGAGCCTAACCCTCTCCCCTACAAAATCCTCAGCAACGATTTTCACCACTTGGACGAAGGATGTCAGACTGCAACTGAGTATTCTCGTCGAAGACGAACCAATTCCGACGTTGAATAACCCGAAGGTCCTCAGAGTAACCTTCGAAGGTCTGCTCTCCTTCTCGGCGCATACAAGCGCAATTGTCAATAAAGTACAAAGCCCCAACAAAGTCCTCAAGTCGCTAGCCGGCAGCACCTGCGGCAAACAAAGGAACGTTGTTGGCAACGTATAAGGCAGTTGGCCGGCCGGTTGTGAACTATGCAGCGCCTGTGTGGTTACCGAGGACTAGTAGGACGCAGTGGATGAAGCTGCAGACCTGCCAAAACACGGCACTTAGACAGCGACAGGATTCCGTCTGATGTTGCCGCAACATCACCTGCGCGACGAGGCACATATGCTCCCGATTAAGGAGCATAACGCAATGTTCTGCAAGCAATTCCTAGTAGGGTGTTATCGTGTTAGCACCCAAACAGACATCTGAGTGCGGAAGAACCCTCGCCACGGCCGTCAGAAGGAATCTATATGAACTGACGGACGAAGTCCGGGGTTCATAAAACTTAAATAAATAATTCAAAGAGAGCAAGTCCCGAGTTATATAGACTCTCAACCACCTGACGTTGACGAGACAGAGCTTCGTCTGCCTAGGGAGACTCGGACCACATAGCCCAACTTCGATCCGGCTACTGCAGCAGGTTGAACTCATACCTGAACAGAATAAATGCAGATGTGCCAAATGAATTCCCGTCATTCGGAGAGACGCTCCATGACACGCAGCATCTCTTCGCATGCCCACTGAACCCCACCCTGCTAATGTGTCTGGCCTTATGGACAGACCCCATCGAGGCTTCACGCTTCCTGGGTCTACCGCTATAGAGCTTGACGACAACGATACAACAACAACAGGAAACATCTGTTGGCATTAGCTGTGGGAAAAGACGACACTTCAGAGTTCTTAAAAATTTAACTTTAAAAGACGCACTGCACAATAAAATTGATTTTAGAGAACAAAAACTCAATCTGGATATAGTGAACAATCTGTTTTCTATGAACTGGTCTTGCATTAATTAGTTCACTCGACCCAGATAGCACTGTAAATCAAAGAAATATAGCCCAAACTCGTCAAAATAAGGCGAGTGAGTCTATTACTTCTGTCACCAGTGTACAGCTTGCAGTTTGAATTTCTGAAAGCAATTTCTGTAAATCTGCAAAATGGCCACAAAAAGCGCTTGCATTGCCACGCCTAACCGCACTATAAGAGAATATCAAAAGCAAAAATCGCGACGACATTCCGTGCAGTAGTGATAAAATTTACAACATCAACAACCACAGTAGCAGCAAAGCTGCTACAGTAGCAACAGAAAATCGTGAATTAAGCAACAGAAAAGACTTCAGTCTTCAGTAAGGCGCTTCGGAGCATAAACAACAAAGTGCGCTTGTGTCGTCGTCGTCATCGTCGTAAGAGTTGCAATCGTTAAAGTCGTCGTCGTATAGCCGCAATATAGCGAGTGCAATTGATGATTTGTTGGTGCATAAAAGCACATACATTCATATAGAAATAAATATATTTAAAAGTGAACATATCCATAAAAACATAGTTTTCTGCTTCAGCGGCTATGATTTTTTTTGGACATATTTTGATTTGAATTTTTTTTTTTGCGTTTTTTTTTTTCATCTGTGACCATCGACTATCGTGAAGTTGACCCTGCTACTTTGTGCATATTAATGTTTTCTTATTACAATAACAATAAAAGCTAGAAACATACATACAAATATATGTACGTAAGTAAGAGAGATACCAAAGAAACAAAGTGCAAAGAAAAACGTTTCAAAAAATAGTTTTTTCGAAATTTTAAGAATTTGAACAACCACTACAAGTAGTGAACGCACGCGTCATGAAAGCTATAGCAAGTACAAATCGAATAAAAGAATTCGCCTACAATTATAGCGAACCCAGCACGAATATCACGCAAGCTGTTGTCATGGCGAGCGATAGCAACCCTAGTAGCAGCGGCAGCAGCAACACACTTCCACTTGACTACAGCTCACCCGTATGCGGGCCAAGAAAAACAATGGCAAAGAATGAAGAATGTTCCAGAGCGGAGCAAAGTGCGCCAGCAACAGAAACAGCAACAGCGTCAATCGCCAAGGAGCTGGGTGCGAGCGCTGGAAGCGAGGATACAACTAAATTGATTTCAACGGCAATTAAGTTCATCAACATCAATAACAACAACAGCAACAGTTGTAGTAATAACAGCAATAGTGACAAGCAACGAACAAATAGTCGAAACACGGACGCTGGCGACAGCAACAAATCAACATCGAAATCGACAGGCACAACAACAACGAGTACGACTGTTGCTAAATCAGCAGCATCGAAGTTTATTAATTCTCGCAATAAATTGACGACAACGACAATTGTTGGGCAACAAGAAAAAGGTCGTACACAGGAACAACAACAACACAAGGATGAGGAGCAGCAGCAGCAGCAACAACAGGCTGAACAAATGTTTTTGTTGCCCACAACAAGGGACCTCAATCAAATCAATTTAAAATCATCACTGTATGTTGATCAACAACTATGCAATGGCGGCGACAACAACATCAACAACAACAACAGCAACAATAGAAGCCTCAATCAACGGAATGATGTACAAAGTAAGTTGAATACAAACGTCAGCAGCAACAGTAACAACAATAATAATCTGAACAATGCTAATAATATTAATAATAATAAGAAGAAGAAGCAGCAGCAGCAGCAGCAGCCACAACAGCTAAACGAGATGTCCAGGGTGGCGTATGAGGTACTGAATAATAATAATAGTAATAACAACAATAGCGCCAACGCCAGCAATGAAGCAAATGATAGTGAGCACAACAACAACAACAACAACAGGGGAAAATCGCAAGTGAATGCGAAGAAGCAGAAGAACAGCAACAACCACAATGACTTGGAGGAGCTGGAGCAGCAGAAACAGCCGCCTCGCCAGCAATCACTGATAACCGTGGCAAAGGCGGCGCCCGCACAGACGACAATTGTCAACGAACTAAAAGCCACAACGAAAGTGAGAGCAGAGAAAATTGCCACAACCGTCATCACGCCGATAAGAAAAGCAGTCGCAGCAACAACAACAACAGCAACAACAATAAAAACGCCAGCAATTGAAAGAGCGAAAACGTCACAGCTAACGTTGCGCAAATCGCTCTCCACGCCAGCATCTTTTAAAATTGGCGACGTCGCTTGGAGCACGTTGAGCACAAGTAATAACAACAACGAAATTAAGCAAACAGATAGCAAAGTTAAGAATAGCAACAACCGAAAGCTGATTATAAGTTCGAGCAAAACAAAGAATGAGACTGTGACTGTGGAAGTGGAAGTGACGAAGCAGGAGGAGGAGGAGAGGAAGCTGTTGGAGTTGGAGTTAGTGTGCGGCAATAAAGATGATAGTGGTGGTGGTGGTGGTGGTGGCGATGGCGTTAGCACTGACAGCAGCCGTGGCAAGTGTACAAAGCCAGCAATGGCTACACCGATGACAATCGCGAACTTAGTGCCACCAGCTGCAGCAAATAATACAAAAGCTAAATCGGCAAATGCTTCAATTGAAGAAGCAATAACATTCACAAAAGCTATAACAGCAACAATGAAAAGTACAGCATGTACATCAACAACAACAACAAAGGCATCGGCAACAATGGATGTCGTAATGCGTTCACAATATGTCGCGCATGCGCCGCCGCATCAACACCAACACCATCAACACCAACACCATCAACACCAGCACCATCAACACCAACACCACCATCTACAGCAGCAGCAGCAGCAACGTCATCATCAGCAGTCAAATACGAAAATTGTAAAAGCCAAAACTAATGATAATAATCAAGTCATACACGACGATGTTAGCGTCGTTGCCAGCACGACAACCGCCCCAACGCCATCGTCATCATTGCCGCGTCCAAACGTTAGCTTCGATTTGGATTTGCGCTTTGGTTGTGCGCATTACAAGCGACGCGCTATGTTTGTGGTAAGTTTGGCCTTCTTTTATGTATTTTACTTTTTTAGTTTTGTAAATTTTTTTATTTTTTTTATTTTGCGCGCCACAACTGTTGTTCTTTTTTTTTTTATTTATAGCTATTCACTTTTGCTGCATTTTCAAACCTGCTCCCTTCCTTTGTAAAATTAGTTAGTAAATTAGCCGCTATTCCTGAGCATAGGTTGCCATAGCATTTTTATTTAAGTTCTCAGTTGTTGTGTTTTTCGCTAGCAGAAAGTTTACCACGTTTTTTTCCATGCTAATATTCCATGTAATATTACACATACGCCCCACTGCACTTCCGGTTGAGTAACAATAAGGTTTGAGCACAAGGAAATTAGTGCAAAAAACAATTCCAATTACTTTTAAAGTAATTGATGAATTAAAAAGGAAAACACATTTTTATCAGGAAATCTACGAATTCGAATGCCTGCTACGAATACGAAAAAATTGGCTATCACTGAATCCGAGTGGACTCCGAGTGCTTCGAATGCTGCACTTTGATAATTCGAAATCCAGCTGGTGCAAAGGAAAAAACAGACATTTATGTATCTGTCATTTTGCTAACGCTGTGGCAATGGCTGTGAGCAAAGCACTAGACTTCCATTTGAAAGATCCGAGTTCGAGTCCGAGTCCCCTTTTTCATTTAATTTTTTTTTTAACTTTAGATGTTATTCTTTTCATAAGATTTTTTTTTTTTTTATTTAAATTAAATTGATATTAAAGTAACTAGGTTTCATTCGCAATAAATTGTTGTTAAACTAATGTTTACTCGCAGTGATTCCCAAAGTGGTCCAAGTGAACCCCCACGTGTCCACGGGAGACTCGTCGGGGGTCTACGTTGGCGTGAAAATAAAATGCGGGTTCACAGGTTGTTAGTGGGGGTCTACGAATATTTACCTAATTCTGATAGCAAAGAACAAAAATGTTGGCTTGGCTTTACCTATCAATGTAGGCTGATAATACACTACTCGAAAAAATTAAGTGATCAAACAAAAATCCAAATTTTTCTGTGATTTTTGACCGACTGTATTTCGGTGAAAAATGGACGTATTGGGACTTTAAAAAAAGCTATTTGAAGTTTAAGTCTCTAATTTTCAAATTTCTGGCCTGCGGTTATCATACAATCCTAACAGATAACGAGAAAAAATAATTTTGGGATTTTTTTTTTTTTTAGTTCACGGGCTTAAAAAAACATTGTTGCAGTTAGGTCGGCATTTGGATCAGATGGCTTTTTCTTTTTCTTAAAACATCCCCGAATTTTTTTGAGTAGTGTATTTTAAACAGTGGTCGGAACAATTCCGTACTGAGGTATACAATTTCCATCTTCCTCCTCACTACAACTCAATTCAAAAGCATTTAATAGCATTTAATTTTGATTTCATCTTTTGTGAGTTAAAAAAGAAAGAACACTCTTTAACTAAATTTATCTTCAGTATAACTCAGTTTTTTTCGCCTTAATATTTACCTTACTGCTCATAAAAGAACGTTCAGCCTCTTTTGCTCATCTAGCCTTCATCACTCAGCAGTTTTAATCATAGATAAACTAATACTAACAAGCGATTAGTAGAATCAAAATTTGGCTTACCCCAACTTCATTGGAAGCGATCAGTGGAAACGCCATTCTCACCAGGCGATTGTTGCTTTCAACTAAAAGTTGCCTGTAAACTCGCGTCTTGAAAACACCGTATAAAGCAGCAGGGAGTGCTCATTGTGCAATCATTTGATTTATGCTCTAAATTTGATGCGCTGCTTGCTTAGCTGTTTAGATTTTTCTAGATTCGATCTTTCCCCTATTGTCAATTTCTTAATTCAAAGTTCGGCGTAAACAACTTTTCGGTTTGTTTGTTTAAAGTTTTGTTTTTTGAAAGTGTTAGCGATAAATTAGAATTCCGTTATACTCGAAAAAAAAACGGCTCGAAAACCTCGAAACCCTCAAAACTTGAATGACGCTTTTCGCGTCTCCTAATAACTTTCGAGGCAAACTAGTCGCGAAAACACCCTCGAAAAGTGGTTCATAAATTTCAGTGTTACTTCATACAATTTATATTTTTAACTTTTTCGTGGCATTTCGAAAGTTTTGCTTTTATATTTACTTCAGCTGATACTAGATATGTATTATACAAATAAACTCTGACTGAACTGTCAAATTTCTGCATTTCGCCATTGTTTGCGAGGATGTAAAAAGGTGCATTCCCAAAACAGGCTCGAAAACTTTCGAGGTTTTCGAGTTTTCAACTCTTCGCGTTTAATGAAATCCCCGAAATATTTTTCACATAACTTTAAAACTAGGAGCAAATACTCCTCATGCAAATTCATGAAAAACTTTCAGAAAGAGCCAGCTCTTTTAATTGAACTAGTTCATTAGTTCGTTCATTACAGTTAACTAAAAGTTTCTGTGGCAACACTCCAACAAAAATGGAAATGTAATTTTAATACATATGGCATCTCGTTTTTCGTTGTAAGGGCATTAAGAAACAAATGATCGGAATTCGCGCTAAAAAAAAAAAAATATTTTATTTCATTAAATTTCCAATGTTTTACATCGTTTAGAGCAATTTGTGTAAAAAAGTAAATATTTGAGTTGAGTTTTTGGGATTTGTGCGTCTCTACCTACCCGAAGTTAAAATCTCATTTTCTGATAAGGGGAACCAATCTTTAGATATGTACATAGCAGTCGATTTCAAATGATGAGAGTAATTGAAATTTGAATCAGTAAATTTGCTTCCAAACCGAAATGCCCACATACATGAAGACAGATGGAGCAAAAACCATTTGGCCATTTCATTTGAACACAAACTTAATAACCTATTTCGCTGGCAAAGTAACCAAAGTCGCCACAAAGCTATTCAACTAGTTTATAAAAAAAAAAAAAAAACGAATTTCTTTCGGTATGCAACAGTTGAAGAAATCAAATTGAGTAAAAATAAAATAAAATTAATCCACTACACTTAACTTTCGCGGAAGTAAATAAGCATCTTCATGTATAATAGCGCTTTCCAACGTACATACATACATACATATAACAACTGCCGGCGCCACTAGTACAACCGGTTGGAACTCGATGTAACTATTCGCATTTGCTTGTGAAAAAAGCCAAAACAATTTCTGGCTATAGCGAGTTAGCAAAGTGGCTGCAATCTGGTGTACTTATGTATGTATGGTATGTACATAGTTTCTATGTATTTTGTAAATAAGTATGTAAGTAATAGGTTCAACTGATTAGCTACTCCTAAATATTTAAGTGCTACATACATGCTTACTATGCGGCAAATTTTTTAGTTGTAATAAAACAAAATTATACGTATTGATTTACATATGTATGTACATTAGGGTGCATCACTCTCCATAAAAAAACAAAAATTGTTACTATTTTTTTCATCGGAATTATAAATTTTATTAAAATTTAAAACTTCTCTCAAAATAGTAAGGAAAAATATTAAGAGCTGGATCGATGTGAAAATTCCTCCAATTACCGATTTTTTATAAATAAAATTAATTTTAGAAATATTTTTACCAAAAAAATCACTTCAGTTGGTAGATATGCTTAAGCTCAAAAGGTCTGCATTAGGGAAGGCAGCGATTAATCATTTCATTAAATTAGTCGATTATTTTTGTCCCATTTACGATTTAATTGTATCGTAGATTTGTGTTTCATTAATCGATTATTAATTGATGAATTGTAGAATAATCGTACAAATATTTTCAAAAATTATAGATTCTGTAGCTGTTTAAAAATTTCAAACAGCCGCAAGAATTGCTCTAGTTCAGAGCATGTAAGCCCACTGTAAAGGCTACAAAACTAAGTGTGGCAACGTTAAAGGCCCTACACACTCATTGATTTATCGCCGAACCAGTTGGTCAAATACTAGAAGTTGGTTGAAAATAAGCCGTATGTAGGCAAGTTGGTCAACCTTGAGTAAATGAAAACTGTTTAGCCAAAACTTTACGGACTTTCGAAAAAATACTGATATTTAGTTGATCCATTGTTGCATGCTGAGCGCCGTTTTTTAATAGCCGGTGCTACAGCCACCAAGAAACGCAACCGTTTAACAACAAAATGATTATCAAAACGTTTTTGCAAAAATGGTTAAATAATCATAAAAAAAATACTCGTTTTATTTCATTTAAGGCTAATTAACAAGAAAATTAGAAATTTTGTATAAAAAAATGCTTTTGTGAGTACTCACTGTAAAAACAAATCCTTTAAAAATTCGATTAATCGATTATTTCTCAATAATTGCAATTCATTTTTTTTTTTTGGCTTGCGATTAATAATTTGATTAACTAATCGATTACTTAAATTGTTTGCTAACCCTAGGCTGCATAAAAAGTTTAAAAATTGTATGAACGGAACCAAAACATATGTAGATATATTTTGAGACATTTTCAAATCAGCCCAGCTCACGTAAATCTTAATATTTTTTTCAAACTATTTTGTTAGAAGTCTTAAAATGTAATAAATTTTATTAAACAGTGCCAATTTTTTTTTTTTTGTGTGGAGAGTGATACACCCTAATATACACACATATCTACATATGCATATCAGACCGTACCACCTTACAAGCAAATAAAAAAGTTCGCCGTACATCCCCGAGCTTTAAAGTATTTTTACAAAGCGATTTAAAAAAAAATGTTTGCCCGAATCTAGGGGTTGCCATTTTTATTTTTCGGTGACACCTACATTCGAAAGTAAATTTTTTTTTTATATTTACTTCTACTGGAATAATCGAAATACCTCCCTAGCAAAAGTTTAATGATTTTGGGCGGGATTTAGTTTGCTGGCATTAGGGTGGTACGTTGTCGTGACAAAAAGCTAAGTCTGGTGGATACGTACTAGAACGGAGAGTAGATACCTAAGGGGAATGAACTTTGGAACCAACAAAAATTTCCTCTCGATGCAAGAATAACGTTATATAGTACAATACATTAAGATCCGACTGTAAAAGCCGAAGATATGACGAAAAATGTTTAAATTAGACCTCTAAGTT